TTAATCGTATCGTGGTCCAAAGTACCACATTTCATACTTATTTTATGTCCATTTATATCCTTGGACTCAAAGGACCCATAGCCCAAAAGCTTGGCAAAGCGTTATTAAAATTTCAAAATTTTGGAAAGTGTACCTGTACACCATACCAGTACGAGTTGCCCACTGGAAAAACTGTACCGGTACGGGTAACCCTCTGGAAAATCTATACCAGGGGTAACCGAATGAAAAATTTGTACTGGTATAGGTAACCCACTGGAAAATCTGTACCGGTACGGGTAAACCCACTGGACCTCGTCGTACCGGTACTCCGTACCGATACGCTTTGCCGACTTTTGCCTATTTTACCTATTTTTCATTTCCAATCCATTTCAAACCCGTTCACAATCATCCAAAACATATTTAATGAGGTTTCTCACATAAAATCTATTATATACAAGTTCTATTATAGAAAATTCCATACGATTACATGCCCAAAATATAATTTTCACAAAAATTATAAAAAATGAGCTATCAAAAGCCAGAAATCAGCTCTCTTCACCTTTGAGGCTCGAAATGAGAGTCCTCCGCCGGATTGAACCTCGCACCTAAAATGTTTTCCCATATAGGGTGAGCTACACGCAATAGAGTATCTCCTACAGAGGCTACTCTCCCCTAGATGCATATGAAATGTGCACATGCAACAATCAAACATCAATTTCCATTCCAAACAAGAATATACCATTCAATGTTGAAATTTTACTATGTCATGTCATGATATGAGATGACACTTACTCATGCACTTTAACCCGAGTCCTCACCGACTCCCACAACACAATGCAATGCTAATGTGTAGCAAATCTATCATTGATGAATTTCATCCAATGATCATTTTGAAATAAAGATCATGTGTCTATAAAACCAAATTTTGTTGGATGATACACATCAAATGACCATTTATAAAACAAAATCATGTGTCTTTATTGGGTATCGGATTTTGGAATCACACCATTGGCTCTGTACGCCATTACACTTTTCCGGAATTGCACAACAGGGGAGTGTATGAACCAATTAGCTAGGTCTTGCACCTAAGGGAGAATCTATCCCTTCTTACTATACTAGACACAAGTTTTCCTTTTTCATGCAACCGTGCTACTCTGTTGAACCTTGGCCCAGCGGTACCGAGCCCACTTGTCATCGACCAAGTATGGTGTTTGATCCAACACATGCACACACACACCCATATTCATGTCCATGAATGTATTTCCCCCGTGCAGATGCAATGTAATGCACTATTGCAATATCAATATCATGCTCTATATGTAATGAATGTCATATAAGCAAATTTAACCACATATTTCACAATATGTCATGTCAATTTATATCGATTGTATATAACTACCATAATCCATCACAATGTTAATACACCAACTAGCACATATGAACATTTATATCCAACACAAACCACAAGCATGTCATAACAAACTCATTTCTCACATAGGCATTTAGCAAAATACTTTCAAGACACAACTCATGTTATCACACAACATTTCCCACCTAATATCATGTTGTAAGGAAATTACACAAGTACTTTCCCTATACCAACTTAACTAGGAATTGGCCTAAGCCATTTCTATAACCATTTTCTCATTTTCATTACCATAATCAAGTGACCTAGGTTATTCTATACACTTACTCATTTCATAAAACATTCTAGGTAAGAAATAAACTAAGGTAGGAGGAAACCCTGCCTCTTGAAGCGTAATTTAAGGAAAGAAAGCCTCAAAAACACTTCCTAAGCCCAAAACCCTTGATTTTTCCAAATCTCCTCTTTAGAGCTTTAGTGAAATCCTTCATTTTTGGTACGTAGATGTAGCCCTCGTCGCCTAGACGAACTTTAACTCTTGGCTCGATGAATTTCGACTGACGGAACTCCATAGATCACAAAGAGAAAGATAGAAATCTTTATTTTCCTCTTCTCTGCCTTCTCTTCTCTTCCAACGCGTGAGACCGGCTGATCAAGTGGGAAAATATCAGATATTTTCCCCTATTTATAGCCTTTAATTGCGTGGTCCACATCGCATCGTACATTTTCTACTACGGGTCTGTTTTTGTCCCGAAACAATTTAATTTTATCCTGGTTTAAATTCAAATTTTTTTTATTTCAAATTTGCTTCAATCAGAAGGAAATTTTATAATTTTTATTTTTGGGAACGTTTGTGGAGTCATTTGACCCCCAATTGTCTCAAAAAACGTAAAAATTTGACTATCTTGGAATTCATTAAAAATTAACAGGGTAGCTTGATTTCGCGATACGAATCCAACGAGGAAGTCTATTGCATCATTCGAGCTCTATAGAAATACTCATTTTAATTCCACATTATAATGACAAATTACCGTTTTGCCCTTTTTCAGAAAAAGTTCAAATTTACGCGTGTTTCACATGTTAACCCACCATTCTTTGCCCTAAAAGTTCTCATTGAAGTGAAAATCATTTGGGGCTAGATGCAAAAAATGGAGTGCTAAAAGAGCCACCCTTCTCAAATTAGCAAAATGTGTATAACATTGACTTTCAGCTGTCCTAGACTCTTAGTCCTACAAGTTGTAAGAGTCTAAAAAGAGAGTGATGATCAGCCTAAATTAATGACCAATTCAAGATATTTAGCCAAGAAGAATGTTGTCATGGAGAAGTGGAGTTGTTTTTCACTTGATGTGTATTTCCCAAGTTACATCATGAGAAAAATATTTGCACAGAAGTTAAAAAGAAAAGAAAATTGAATATTGTTGACATTAGGAAGATACTACAACTTAGTGCTAGAGGCTGACCAGGCCAACTGCACTTAATTAGCTCTAAGGTGCCAGTTGTACACTACAGTTTCACTTAAGTTACACAATGTTAAATCATTTATCGTCTATGGAAGAGGGGTCTACTCATAAAAAGTGATTCATACTTGAATCTATGACAAGTGATCTATCATTGTGTGAAAGCCTAATGGAAAATATCTGAATTCCTTTAACACATATGGGCACAAATTTGATAGCAACCATGGCAACTAGAAGATCTCACATTGGCTAATGAAGTGTGAATGTGAAGTGCATCACAAGTGAGCCTTTAACCTTCGAGCTTAGTCCAAAACATGGCAATATTGTACAATGCGGCTCAAAGGGCACTACACCAACATTTTGTGATACATTTACATTGGCTTTTCAAGTTGGTTTGTTTTTATTTGTAACTTCTATATCAAATGAAGTCTCGTTAGTTTGTTAGTTCAAAGTCAATCCCAGGGAACAGTGAAGCTTTGTAGGGTCTTTTTGTCAAGGTAATCATAGGTAAGTTCAATCCAATTGGTTGAATAGTGAGTCTTCAACACATTTGTTAATTTTGGCAAGGCAATCATAGGTAAGTTCAATCCAATTGGTGAGATAATCTAGAATGGTGTCAGATCCTTCTATCAAATCTTGGAGTTTTATAGATAATTTGTGGGTTAAAACTGTTGTCCTGACAGCTCATCGAGGGAGCATCCCAGGTAGCTTCCTCACAAATTAATTCAAAAAGACAACTCAATCCTCCAGAGTGATGCTCACTTATTCGGGAAAATCGGTTAAGTAAAGGGTAGACTTAATGTAAATTTTCACATCCTAAGTTAGAATTCTTGTCTAAATAAAATTTGAAAGGACAAGTAATTAGAACGATTTTTCACAACCAAAAAAAATGTTGCAAAGGTTACATAGTGAATACAGGTGCAGATGGCTAATCCACACTAACAGTGATCTCAGTTGATTAGGCTAAAAACAAAGTGGGTATGTTGGCTACTGGGAGGTTTGAAACAGAAATGGATGAAGCAATGGGAAGAAGACAAGAAAAATAGAATCTATGGGGAATTTCAGGCAAAGAGAAAAGCAGTAGCATGAGGTTCAACGTGACTTAAAGTGATTTCTCTGTATCATTTGATCAATTGTAACTTCTTGATTTGAATAGCTGAACTATTTAAGAAAGACTCACAATAAACAATAAGTAAGAATATAAAATTAGAAAATTCTCTTCTCGAATTTTCTATACATACGATGTAGTCTCCCATGGCTTTGCCACAAGATTGACAAATAAAGAAGCTAAAAAGTTCACCAAAGTGTCGGGAGTTTTGGTTGTTTTAGCAGACAAGGTCGCAGAAAAAGTTGGACACTACCCGTTCCCCAGAACTTCTTGGTCTAAATTTGGACTATAGCTTGTGGCCGGAGACCAACTTTGGTGAGAATGTTATAATTGACCTAGTAGATTCTAGAATTTGGCCGGAGAGTGACAATTTCAATGACATTGGGATTCGGCCAATACCCTCTAGGTGGAAAGGTGCATGTGAACAGGACTGAATTCAATTCTAGTCATTGTAACAGGAAACTCATTGGTGCAAGGTTCTTCCTCAAGGGCATGGAACACTACATGACTGGTAGATCATTGGAAGGACTTGGTGGTTCAAGCCAATTTAAGGTCTAAAGTGAAAATATTAAATGAAGGTTTTTTTATTTTTAATATTATTTTTTAAAAAATTAATTTATTTTTAATTTTCTATGTGAGAGGGAGATAAAAAGAAAAATGTGTTAATATTGTCGAGAAAGAGATTTCAACTTTTATTTTTTTATTACCACAGAGAGGGAGAAAGAGAGTTTAATTTCAATTTTTTTTGTTGTTTTTTATTTTTTTTACCAAAGAGAGAGAGAGAGAGAGAGAGAGTGGGTGGGAGTTTTTAATATTATGGATTGGATTACAGGCACAAATTATTGCAATAAAATTTTTGATTAGATTTAATTTTTTGGGGTTTTTTTGTAGGGCTTAAAATTTAATGGATTTAAGTTTTTTGTGGGCTAGTGATGTACCTAAGATTATGTAACTTCCTAAAAATTTGGGGCCTAAAACTCATGTTTTTTTTTTAATATTGTTGGGCCGGCCCTAGGCGATTATCAATCTCTGCGAGATGGAGTTGGACATGGCACACATAATGCTTCAACAACAACAAGATCCAAGGTTGCCAATGCTAATGTATTTGGTTTTGCAAACGGTAGTGCGAGAGGCATTGCAACAAAGGCCAGGATTGCCATATATAAAGCTTGTGAGGCATTGCAACAAGGCGAGTGAAGTTCAATACAAATTCTGGAACATCAATGTCCTGCCCACATGTTGCTGCATTGCTCTGTGCTGCTCACCCCAATTGGTCCCCGGCAGTAGTCAGGTCAGCTCTCATGACCACCTCCACAGTAACTGACAATAAATTTCGTTTGATTGCTAGATATGCAAATTTGGAGCCAGCAACTGTACTTAGCACCAAAGCTGGACATGTTAATCCTCAATTGGCTTCAGATCCAAGGCTAATTTACGACGCATATATAGCAGATTACACCATGGTTTTGTGCAGTGATGCATAGTTAAAATTAACATCTTACTATGCTTTTACAAGACTAATTATGCTTTGATGGAGTTTAAATGATAATATTTTAGGGAAAAAGTTGTACAAGGGCCTAAAGTCAATAACATCAAACTTTCAAGCAATACCCACGTGTTCTGGAATAGACTTGGAGAAGGAGAAAGCAAAGCATCCATATTTGACTGTTAATTCACTTTTGAATGCCATTTTGAAATAATTGAGGACCCTAGGAGATTGTTAGGGTGATGAAACGTGGCCTGTTGCAGCTATTTACTGTGGAGGACAAAAGTTGCTTGAGTACCACGTTCAAACTCTAACAGCATTCGAACTCTCATCAAAGAAGACTTGCTTCCACGTTCGAATTCCAACAACGTTTGAACGCAAATCCCAGATAGGCAGCAGGAAGATTTGATCTTTATTCGGATTTTGGGGCATTCTTTTGGACTTCAAGCACCTAGAACCATTCTTTGACTCTCCTTTTACCCCCTCTTCCTTGCCTATAATTTCCTTTCCTTTGAACTTGTTAAAGATCATCTTTTGGAAGAGGAAGAAATCCTCCAAAAGTAACTAGCTTTCTTCTACTTTTTTTATTAGTTTCATTAGCTTCCAGCTTCTTTCTTCACTTAGAGGAATGAAACTCTCTCACCTTTCTAGCTGTCTTGTAGCCTTGAAGGGTAGGTAATGATTCACGAGTTCTTTATCGAAGATAGACTTATTGTGTAGTGTATTTTATCTTGTAACTCCTCTACTTGGAGGGATGAAGATCACTCACTTTCCTAGCTTTCTCAAAGCCATAAAGAGTGAATAATTTCTCATTTACTTTTTAGTAAGAGGTAATGGACATGTATAAATCATTCAGAAGTTATATTTGTGTATTTCATTTATGCTTAATGCTTTATCTTTTGATTATTTTTTGAATGATTGAATGCATCTAGCAAAGTTAAGGTACTTTGTACAATCATAAATCCTTTCTACGGCAAGTTAACTCTTGGCATAGGAGGATTCATTGGTTCTTTGCAAGTACTCAAGTTAGATCTTCACTATTATTGTGTTTTAACTAAGAACAGGATAATATCGTAGTGGTTGGATGATTTGTAGAATTATTTGCTAGTTTGTGGATGGGATGAGTCCTGGCACTGAAAATTCTTGTAAATCTCTATAAAGACATTGAAACCATTCTCTTAATTCTCATTGTCCATCTTTATCCTCCAATTAACTTGCTATTGACACAGGGGTTAGTTGAGTTGTCAAGCACAAGTATAACAACCAGATGATTGACTACATGTCCAGATCCTTGAACTAATGGGTGAATTTTTTCATTTAAGAGAATATTATATTTTGTCTAGAAAATTCTACAATCATCATAACTTCAAATTTCAAGGGTTCCAGTCACTTTGGTCTCTATCACTATTTACTTTAAAACACCAACAGTAGTTCCCTGTAGATTCGACTTTGGATTTAACTGGATTATAACTACAATTTGATCATCTACACTTGGGTGTACACATTTTGGATCAAGTTATGCAGTTTGAACTACACCAAAAAGTAGATGAAATTTTTTGTAGAGGCATCAAAACCTTGCTCAGGACCAGCAAGTTCTCCGAGAAATCTTAACTATCCATTATTTTCCGTGGTATTCAAGCCTAACAGCTCCGTTCAAGAGTTATAGAGAACAGTGACCGATGTTGGGGAGCTTTTGCCAGAAGTGTACAAAGTTGGAATTGTCCATCATGAAGTTAAAAAGGTAAATGCAAGTGTGAAACCACAAAATTTGATCTTCAAAAAATCCTTCGAGAAGCAAAGCTATAGGGTTAGATTCAAGAGCAACAATGTCTTCAATAATAGAAGTACCACTGTGGAACAAATGGCTTTTGGTCCATTCCATGGTAAAGTGAGAGCCATGTTGTTAGGATTCCTTTTTTCAGTGATGTGGCAACTCTATTAGTGTTGATGTTGTACTGTTGGAACAAACAAACGTCAAAGTTATTTTGCTTAGCTCAGATAGTGTGTTTCCTTACAGGGGGTGGGAAATTGCTTGTATCAAAGAAACCTTGACAAAACAAAGCTTAAATGCTACTTCGAATGATATCCGATTTGACTCTAAAGAAGTTGAGAATTTTGGTACTACTTAGACAGACCAGTTGGGTTGAACAAAAAGGAAAGATTAGTTGGGATTAAAAATCTTGCAGAACCCTTCAACTCCCAGAGCAGTCTAGCTAAAATCGTATGATCAGAAAAATATGATTTGTTTTTCCAACTCAAGCACATTTTTGCATAATGGTAGTCAGAGAATCTAATTGCAATGGTTATAATTCCAAATCAGGAATATGAACTGCTTTTAGCATTTAACAGACAAAATGACAAGGGAATGAGCTCTGGACTTAATCCAACACTTGAGCCAAATTGTAGCGGAATGATATTTGATGCGAGTCAGTCAACGACATGCTCAACTGCAATTGTCTTCGTGATGCAAAGAAAAATGTGGAAAGACATTATCTATTGCACCTTTAAAAAATAGAAGATGTCTCTTATTTCTCTTCAATTTATGCTTGTTTTATTGTAACAATATTATTCCAACATAACTATCTATTTTGGGGATTATTCTACAACTACAGACTGTTTATCTTTTTCCCATCAACAATATCTAATACTGGAACATGATATCTTGAATAAAGAAGGTTTTATATTACATTAAGTTCAAGAACATTGTTGTAAGTGATTTATAGTGTTAAAATGCCTTTAAAACTACTCCAAGTGTATGCGTACATGCCATATTGAAGAAAGAAAAGTTGAATTTGAATATCAAATAAAAGAATCCCTTTGAAGAATGTATTTTTATATGCCCCTTCCTTGAAATTAACATAGATAATTAATCAAAGCTATTGACATTATGACTAGCAATATTGTTTCTGAAGGAACACTTCCACTATTTTCTTTGCCATTTCATTCTGTGGATATACCCATGATCACATCTTGATTGATTGTGGCGACATATGTGCTTCAAAGCCTTTGTGATTTTGAGGTATCTGAACTGGTTTTGAATTTGCTGGTTGGGATAACAGGTAGTCCTTGGTGTGAAGTGTCCGTAAAGATGAAAACACATTAGATGTATCCATAAAGATGAAATCTAGAGGCATCATTCCCTTTATCGGTTCTAAAGGCATCAAACACCTTATGAAGGCCAGGACAAGAAAGAATTACATCTTACGGATCTGGAAGCTGTCTTTGCTTCTTCAATCCACCCGTGTGTCACTGATGTAGAGCATCACAAGTGAAGAGTATATATTTCTATACTCTTTTGCAAGTGCTTGTGAAATTAAACTATTTTAGAACCAAGTAAATTCCTCATTGCTTGAACTCGACTTCAACTTCATCCTCTTGACTAGCCGTGGTTTTTGGATCATAGTTTAATCCTATCCTTTAAATTTCTCACTGCTTGAATTTCCTTGGTACAGTAGTTTATTAGACTATTTTCTTGTTGGTACTGTACTTTTCTTGGTTTGTTTTACCAACCCTCTATATCATGGTTGTTACAACTTGCAATATGTCTCTTCAGATGAGCTATTGCTAAGAAAATCAGCCAAAAAACTAATGTGTGACTTCCTATAAATTGTCCAAAAACTTGTAAAAAGTTCAGGCCATGGGAATTTTTTAGGTAAATTACACACACCCCTCACATTTCAAAAATTACACTAAGACCCCAATAGCAAGACGGAGTTAACTATCTTGATAAAAAAAATTTTTTTTGCCCCTGTCTTTAACACAAATTCAAACCTAAACCCCAAGCCCTATTGCTAATCCTAACTCTAATCTCCAACGTCCTCTGCACTAGCACTCCCAACGCTCTCTCTTTCTCTCTCTCTCTGGGTGAAAAACCAGCCTTAAATCATCGCAAAAGAACCGGTGACAATTGACAGCCCATCCCACACCACTGCATCACCCTCCAATAGCCACCTCATCCACTAAGAAATCAAAAGGACAATGATTGTTTTTGAAACCCTAACTCCCCTTTCTTCATCTCTTAGTTTTGATACGATGTGGTGGTGGTGGTGATTTTTGGTCCGTGTTACTATGTTGGCGACGATACAGTGGCACGATGCTGTGGATGTGAAGGATCATGTGTAGAGATGATTGATGTTGAGTTTGGTCTATGTGGCAGTTTCAGTGGTGATAGAGGCAAATGTTGTTTCAATGGGCTCTATTGGTGGTGATTGGATATAGGAACCGGTCAGATCTAGCACTACCAAAAACAGTAGTGGTACGAGTGGTTATGGGCAACAAGAGTTAAAATTTATGTAATTTGATAAATAATAAACAAAAATAAATTTAATATGGGATAATTGGATTAGGTGATTATTAAGATTTAAAAATTTTTGATTATTTTTTAAATTGTACTAATAGTACCAAATATTATTTAATAAACAAAAATTTTAATATTTTATTTATTAATGTGATATATTTAGAAATCAAACATATAAGTAATAAATTTTAATCTATATATGAAATATATAGATTAAAAAAATAAATGAGAGGTTGGGTAAATTTATAGGGTAAGATAAATATATATTTGAATTCTTAAATTTAATTTTGGAGGATATTTTTGGTATTCTGGGAATTATGATTGATGACATCAACTTTGACTGTTAACAAGTTTAACGTCTGTCAGTTAGAGGGGATGTGGTTGTTACAAGTTTTAAATGTTATGAGAATTCGGTCTTATTTTTAAAATGTGAGTTTAAACATGGATACAAATATGAGTTTAAAATGGATACAAATATGTGATACATGAACGATACGATATGGATATATGATATAGGTCTGATTAAAAAAAAATACGAGTACGATCAAGATACATTTATAATAAAATATATTTTATATTTTTTTATTCTTTAACGACTTAAATATTATAATTTTCAATAATTCTTTAACAATAGTAAACAAAATTAAGGATTTTTACCTTGAAAAAGATGTAATGTCATTTCATTAAAATATATCCAGAAA